ATAATAATAATAATAATATTGTCTGTCAACATATTGACAGTCATTGATTAAAAATATGACCCGTTGCATGTGTTTATTTATATGAAATCAGTTACGCTGGTGACACGACAGCCACGAACCTGGGTGGAAATGAGTTTTATACAGCAGATTTCGCACCCAGTGCTTTGGCCCTGGTCAGCCGTCTGGCCGTTGCATTTTGGACCAGGTTTCTGGATGGGTTTCACAGGCAGCCGTGCACTGGATGGTGCAATAAACCCAGCAGGGTGTAACGAAGGGCAGCGGGCCGAGCTCGCAGCGCCCACGTATGGTGGCCGACATTCTGTGAGCCACAGCAGTAAGCCAGGAGGGTGATGCTGCCTGACAGCCTCTTACAGTCCCTAAAAAGCCACCATAGCAGGAAGCTTCAGCAGGAAGCTCTACTGCGGGCCGGGAGAGAGGTTAACAAGCTGCTGACAGAGAAGCTGTCAGGGGAAAAAGATCTCCTTCAGAGAATGCAAGGGATTTCACATTGGAACCAACGAGGAGAGGCATCAGATGGCAGACACACCAAAAGAAACACGCAGTACAGTGGTGCCTCGTTAGACGATGATAATCCGTTCAACTGAAATCGCTGTCTAGTGAAATCATTGTCTGGCAAAAAGCAAGTTGTCGTCTAGCGAAAATCAGTTTGCGAATCAGAGTCCAAACATTGTCCAGCGAAATTCCCCCATAGGAATCACTCTTTTGCGAAGTGCTATAGCGACGAAAAAACTGTCATGCGGGGTAACTGTCTAGCGAGGCACCACTGTATATTTGTCTGTTGCACTGGAAAAGAGGCAGGGGGTGTTGCTCTGGGTCAAATGAGGGAACATTTCTGAACAGGAATCAAGACGGTCCCTTCAAAGAACCTCCTGCCCCACGGACCTCCCAGCGTTCCTTCGGGTCCAGAAACCTATGAACAAAGGATAACATTGTTTACTTGATCTCCCCACAGGTTTTGACACAAGTTGCTCACCAACAACTCCGGAGCAAATTTGGCGCTGACGGGATGAGAGGAAAAGTCCGCTTAAAAGCTGGGGAAACAAGAGTTTAGAAAAACGGAGGCCTTGGATCCGTTTCAGTCGGGCTTCAGGCCGCGCCACGGCACAGAAACGGCACTGGTCGCACTGCTGGATGACCTGTTGAGGGAGGCTGACAGGGGCAAAGTGTCCCTGCTGGTCCTCCTCGACATCTCGGCGGCCTTCGATACCGTCGACCACAGTATCCTCCTGGTCGGCCCCGTGGAGCCTCACATCGGTGGCCTGGCGCTTGCCTGGCGCCAATCCTGCTTGGAGGGCCGCTCCCAGAGAGTAGAGCTTGGGGAGAATGTCTCGGCCCCGTGGAGCCTCAATTGTGGGATCCCGCAGGGGTCGATTGTCTCCCCAATACTGTTTAATATCTACATGAGGCCGCTGGGTGGGGTCATCAGGGGGTGTAGGGCCTCGTGCCATCAGTATGCTGATGACACCCAGCTCTACATCTCCTTTTCACCTTCCTCAGTGGATGCCGTTCCGTCCCTTCAACGCTGCCTGGAAGCTTCACTGCAATGGATGCAGGGGAATGGGCTGAGGCTGAACCCAGACAAGATGGAGGTCCTGAGGGTGGGTGGCCCCTCCATTGGGGGCTTGGGACACTCCCTCACTTTTGGGGGAGGGGGTGACTTGCCGCGAAGAGTACGGTTATCAGCTTGAGAGTACACCTGGACCCAGCGCTCACCATGGAAACCCAGGTAGCATCAGTGGTCGGTTCCACCAATTACCATCTGTGGGGGATTGCCCAGCTGCTTCCCTATCTTGATGGCGGGGCCCTCACCACCCTGGTCCACGGGCTTGTAATCTCGAGAATAGACCACTGCAATGCGCTCTACGTGGGGCTACCTTTGAGATTAGTGCGGAATCTTCAAATGGTGCAGAATGCGGCGGCCAGATTACTTAGTGGAGCGAGAAAATTCCAACATATATCTCTTGATGAGGGAGTTTCCCAAGCCACCAATGGAGGGGCCACCCACCCTCAGGACCTCCATCTTGTCCAGGTTCAGCCTCAGCCCATTCTGGCTGCTTTGCATTGGCTGCCCATTCGTTTCCACATTGACTTCAAAGGGTTAATGATGACTTATAAAATGGTTTAGGACCTCGATACGTGGCAGAACGCCTTCTCCCACCAAGATCTACTCGAGTCACTCGCCAGAGCCAGGAAAGAAGGCTGAGGGGCCTGACGCCGAGAGAGGCCTGAGAAGAAAGAACAAGAAATCAGGCTTTCTCGGCGGTGGCCCCTCGACTTTGGAACAGCTTGCCACCAGAGAGCTGCCTGGCACCCTCGCTGGGTGTCTTTGAGTCCATTAAAAACTTGGCTCTTTAGGCAGGCCTTCCCTCCCGCCAATTCTTGATTGTATTTTCTTGCTTTTGTTGTTTATTCTCCCATCTTGATCATATTGTTACTGTAGTTTTTAATTGTTGTTTTTATTTGGTTAATGTTGTGAGCCGCCCTGAGTAGACTTTTGTCTAGAAGGGCGGGAAACAAACAAACAAACAAACAAACAAACAAACAAATAAATAAATGACTCTAATGGAGGCCTATGGGCAGTGTGCCCCCCCCCCCGGATCGAAGGAACGCCCGGGCGGGTGCTTTTATTGTGTTCTTAAACAACGCACCATTGTGGGAGCAGGGATGCAGTCGCCTTTTTGAATGTCCTTTGTGAAGAGCGAGGTAAAACCTAGCAAAAAAAGAGGAGCGCTCCTCGGTTCCCCTTGCAAGGCGGCCTTGCCTGCCTGGTGCCTGAGTGGGAAGGGAGGGAGGAGGGAGAAGAGGCCCCTTCCTTAAGGAAGAGGGCCTGCATCTGGTTGGCAGGCGTGAACCCCAGGGCCGGAGCCCCAGCTTGCCCAAATTGCAGGGAAGACCCAACGGGTGAGGCGGGAGCAGGCGAGAAAAGCTGCTCTGGACGAAAGCTCCTCCCGGACGGCCAGAAAGTTCTGAGCCATGGAGGTGGTGAGGGCTAGAGAGCATCGTCAGACCCAGAAGGGAATGGTGAGTAGGAAGACAGAACAGACGACGGGGCCCCTTCACGTTCTTGCCGGGGTTTCCTCTTAGCTAGAACCCGAGGAGAATGTAATGCTTGCCATTAACTCTGCACGTGCCCTGGAACTAGGCTGCAGCCTCAGCGTATGGTAAGTATTACTGTAAGTTAACTTCTTATTGTTATTATTTTAAATGAGAACTCTTCTCAAATTGCCTAGACTCTGAACTTCTTTTTCCACCTTGTGGTTTGTTTGCTCTGGATTCACCAGGGAGGGAGGGAGGGAGGAACAATTAAAGATAAACAGTGAGAAACGAGGAAGGAAGGAAGGAATCAGTGAAAAGAAAATCAAAGAAAATCAGTGGGGTGGTGGTAGAGAAAAAAAGGAACTCTTAAGGCAAGAGAAAACTTATCATGTCCCTCCAACACATATGAGTTTTTGATTCTCATTATCACCTATTTCAACCCCCTATAAATCCCTTGAGGTATTTATAGGGCCCTCAGGGCCCTGATCCAGCCCCTTTATGACACGCTCTGGAATGTCAGCAGAGGCTTGGCTGAAGTGTGGGGCTGGGCACAGTCCCTTCCCTGAGGTCCCCCGGAGGAGGGGTGCCCCCCAGGACGGGACCATGCAAGGCGCCGAGGGCGGCTGCTTTGCCTGTTGCTGGAACCTCCTGCTCTTCCTGCTGGCCTGCTACTTCCTCAGGCTCTGGAATGGCCAATTCCAGGTGGGTCCCAGGGTCTCTGCGGTCTCCTCCCGTCTCTGGTCGGCTTGGCACAAATCAGGATCTCTGCACGGCTCGGTCCAGAGAGGAGGAGGAGAGCGGGAGGCCCCGGGGGCCCCCAGTGTAGAGATGGAGAGACTAAAAGACTCCTGCCGGGGGTCTGATCCAAGGGAAGGGGCCAGGAAATGTTTGCGCGGGCAGGCCATGGAGGGCGGCGAGAGGCTTTGGTGACTCCTGTCCAAAGAGACAGCCTGTGCGAGGGTCCTGGCCCTGAGCCGGAGGTGGGGGTGGGTATCCAGAACTCTCCCCCCCCCGGCCCTCAGGCAGGGTAACGCTGAGCCGCTGCCACCCCGTGTTGCCTGTCGTTTGGTGTCACTGCCATTGCCTCCTCTCTTCCCAACAGGCACTTCCCGCGTGGAGAGACTCACCCCGGCCCCCTTCCCAAGGTAAGAACCATCGGACGGTCTGGATGGCCCTTGACCGGGCAGAGGGAGTAGCCGGCACTGGAATGGCTTGGCTTCCTGCCGGGGCCCCAAAGATCGCGGGCCGCCTTTCGAGGGGTCTCTCGGCCCCCCGGATGGCTCTGGGGTCCCCAACCTACGGGCTCCTCTGAGTCTCTGTCCTGGTGGAAGCAGGGGCGGATTGGGACACGGTCACACACACACACAAACACACACATACACACACACCTCTGCAGCAAAGAAGGGAGGGAGGTCAGCGGGCCGGGAAGGCAAGGGGTTGGCTTCTCGCTTCTGGGGAGCAAGCTCAGCACCCCCAACCCCCCATCCACCCCCCACTTTCCCTTTGCAGGCCAGGAAGAAAGAGCGCCCAGGTGGCTGTCAGAGGACCCCCACCACTCTCCGAGGAGCCGCCGACGCCGTTCCATCCGCCGGCTGCTGTGCGACGACCCAAGCTGCTCCTTGTGCCAGCAGGTGGCCGAGGAGGCGGCCGAACTGGCTTACCCCAGAGGGCCGGGCCTTGGGGTCCCCCTGACCCGGGCCAGTCAGAGGGAAAGCACCCACAGCTCCGTGTCCAGCACCCTGGACTCCTCGTTCAGCAGCTGGACACAGGGCAGCATCTCCTCCTCTGGGTGCTCAGTGTCGCTGCGGAGCATCTTCTCCTGGTCTCTGCAGGTGGAGAGCGAAGAGATCTCGTCCTTCAGCGAGAGTACCCGGCGATCCCAGGCCACAAGAAAGGGCGCACACAGGAAGAGCCGAGAGGGTGGCTGTCGGCACTGCCGCCGGCGCCACCGGAGGAAGGGGCGGGCTCCGGCCTTCCAAGGGGTCGCCCTGGAGACCCCCTTCCTGGGGGAGGAGGCCAGGGCCAGCTTAGAAGGGCACCTGCTGAGGAAGCAGGTTCAGCACGCCCTGGGGCTGCCCGCCACCCTCCTCCGCTCCCTCCGGGCCTTCATGCCCCTTGCCCCAAACTCTGTGGCCAGGAGCGCCCCCAGGAGCCCTGTTCTGGCCCTCTGCCCCCAGCCTCTCCCCTTCCTGAAGCCCCATGGCACCCGGGCAGAACTCGAGAAGCACCTGAAGAAGATGGTGCACCTCAGGCGCTGGCGGCTGCCC